CTTACATGAGATGACTGTCTTCATCTAATATGTAACATGAGGTGGCTTCAAAAGTGCTTGGAAAAATTCTATTGCTTTTAATTCTGTTTTTCCACAAACTTCTTGACATCCCTTCGTATGGGAGTAAGAATGGCTGCCTGTGAATGCATTTTGTAAGTATTAATGCTGGTCTTCATTTCGGAGTCCTTGTAAAAAAAAAAAAAACAAAAAAACTGTGGTATGGCTGGAAAAAACCCTCAACAAGTTGAAGATAAATGACAAACTAAAAAAATATATAAGCAATGAAAAATTATTGTGTCAAGCCCATGAAGAGTTCTTCTGAGCCAGTTAAATAATAGGGATAGGAGCCAATGGAAATAGGAGCAAAGGTCGTGATGCAAGCACATAAAAAAAGATGGCTGTGCTCTAAGTGAAAGGTTGGAGGGTTCTAGTCCACTCAGTGACAACTCTGGACAAAAAGGCATGTGGTTGATTTCCACAAAAATCAACCATTAGAAAAAAAATTAAGATGAACCATTGAAAATCCTATTGGAATACAGTTCTATTTGACACGCATGGAGTGACCATGAATCAGGGTCGATTTGATGGCAGCTGGCTATATTAATTTTGCAATCCATTAATGAACCATCATCTGCTGTTTGAAAAACACCAGTCTAGATGCTCTGTAACAAATGGATCCTGGCAAGATCACGGTGAGAAAATGACAGGGACCCGGGAGCTGGGCAGTCCACCCATGGAGCCTTAGGGAGCTAGTTGCCATGAGAGACAAGTGAAGCATTTCATCTTTCTTTGATGTGGCTGCGCAGCCCAGGAAACAGACCAGGTTATCAAGCCTGTGAGCCTCCCCCATCTTCCTGACTCCACTCCCAGTAGGGTCACCCACTACCTCCACTCTGGGAGTGGCAGGAAACCATGTCAGTGCTGCCTCTGGGTTCTGCTTACCTCAGCCTTCTTGAGCTCAATTCAAATGTTTATTAACTATTTACTCTGTGCACCCAGGGCAACGTTTGCTTCCTAGGAATTTATGCATAATCTTGAGGGACACTAGAGGGCCTCTTAGGCCTGTGAGTTACTCAGAAATGTTCATAGCACATCTCTCCTCAATAATCACATCTCACCGAGACCGTCCTCTTGAAGGATGAAGGAACAAGTAGTAGTATTCCCAATTTATATGTGAGAAAACTAAGATTCAGAGAAATGAAAAGTTACTTACCCAAGCCATAAGGTCAAGTGTGGTAAGGAGGAGCCTGGGCCTTGGTATTACAAAGACCACTGGACAATGAAAAGGCAAGACAGGAAAAGAATGAGTGCATCCAGATTGTGGTTGGTGAGGAATATTGAATATACCACAGACTGCCAGAAAAACGAACTTATCAGTCTTTGAAGAAACATAAACAGAATGCTTTTTAGAAGTGAGGAAGGCAAGACTTTAGCTCGCTTACTGTAGACATGCCATTAAGCAAGACCAATCGCTAGAAAAGGACTTCATGTTTGGTAAAGTGGTGTGGTTGTTAGGTGCCCTTGGTTTTGATTCATAGAGAGCCTATGAACAATAGAATGAAACACGGCCCCGTCCTACACCATTCTCGCAATTTTGTCACGTATGAGCCACTGTTACAGCCGCTGTGTCAGTTTGTCTCCTTGGCAGTCTGTCTTTTTCTTCCAGAGATTGGTCCCTCCTGATAACATGCCCAGACTATGAGACAGTCTCCCCATCCTTACTTTCAGGGAACATTCTAACTGTTCTCCCAAGACAGATTTATGTGTTCTCTAGGCAGTCTATGGTACTTTTCAATATTCTTCTCCAACATCATACTCTCCAACATCATAATTCAAATGCATTGATTCTTCTCCAGTCTTCCTTATTCATCATCTAGATTTTGCATGCAGATGAGGCTATTGAAGATACCATGACTTGGGTCAGGCTCACCTTAGTCCTCAACTGACATCTTCAGTTTTTAACACTTGAAGGAGGTCTTTTGCAGCAGATTTGCCTAATGTAATACATCATTTGATTCCTTGATGGCTGCTTCCATGAGTGTTGATTGTGGATCCAAGTAAAATGAAATCTTTGACAACTTTGATGTTATCTCCATTTATCATGATGTTATTTATTGGTTGAGTTGTGAGGATTTTTGTCGTCTTTGTACTGAGGTTCAATTCATACTGTAAGCTGTAGTCTTTGATCTTCATCAGTAAGTACTTCAAATCCTCTTCACTTCCTGCAAGCAAGATTGTGTCATCTGCATACCTCAGGTTGTTGATGGGTCTTCTTCCAATCTTGAATTGATGCTGTGTTCTTCATATAATTCAGCTTCTTGGATTATTTGCTCAACATACACGTTCAATAAGTATGATGAAAGAATACAAGCCTGAGACACACCTTTCCTGATTTTAAACTTATTCAGTATCCCATAGTTTTGTTTGAATGACTGCCTCTTGGTCTATGTACATGTTCATGATGAGCACAATTAAGTGTTCTAGGATTCCCATTCTTCTCAGTGCTATCCATAATTTGTTATGGTCCACACAGATTATGGTCTTGGCATAGTCGATAAAACACAAGTCCTGGTGTGGTTCTGTAGGATAAGCACTAGACTGCTAACCACAAGGTTGGCAATTCAAACCCACCAGCTGCTCCTAGGAAACCCTATACAACAAGGTCATTATGAATTGGAACTGATTTGACATCACTTAACAAAAACAAAACATCTTTCTGGTATCCTCTGCTTTCAGCCAAGATCTGTCTGATATCAGCAATGATAACCTTAATTCCACGTCTCTTCTGAATCCAACGTAAATTTCTGCTAACTCCCCATTGATGTACTATTGCATTTTTTTTTTTATTATCTTCAGCAAATTTTATTTGCATGTGATATTTATGATACTGCTTGATGGTGTCCCCATTCCATTGGGACGTTTTTCTTTGGAAAGGGCACAGATATGGATTTCTTCCAATCGGTTGGCCAGGTAGCTGTTTTCTGCATAGCTAAGTGAGCGCCTCCACTGCTGTATCAGTTTGTCGAAACATTTCAGTTTGTAGTCCATTGATTTCTGGAGCCTTGTTTATACCCAGTGCCTTCAGTGCAGCTTGGACTTCTTCCTTCATACCATCAGTTCTTGATCATATGGTATCTCTTGAAACGGCTGAACATCAAGCAGTTGTTTTTGGAATAGTGACTGTGTATTCCTTCCATCTTCTTTTGGTGCTTCGTACATCATGCAGTATTTTGTCTTTCAATATTGCAAGTCAAGACTTGAATTTTTTCTTTAGTTCTTTCAGCTTAAGGGATGGTGAGTGTGTTCTTCCCTTTTGTTTTTCTGACAAGGTCTTTGCACTACATCTGACAGCATTCCACTGCGATTCTGCAAAGATTTTCAGTGCTTAACCTTTCAGAAGTGGTCTACCTTTTCTTCTTCCTAGTCTGTCTAAGTCTGGAAGCTCACTGAAATCTGTCCACCATGGGTGACCCAGCTGGTGGCATAGCTTCCAGAATCACGACTACAGGCAAACCACCACAGTACGACAAACTGACAGACAAGTGGTAGTGGTAAAGTAGAGGACAAAACAACTTCAACCGTGGAACCAGCCAGTGATGACAGGAGCAGGCAGTGTAGTTGGTGTTTACTTACATAGGTAAACTAGGCATGGAGCATGAAGGACATGGAGTGCCTTGGCAAGGAGCTGTGGAACCAGCCAGTGATGACAGGAGCAGGCAGTGTAGTTGGTGCTTACTTACATAGGTAAACTAGGCATGAAGCCTGAAGGACATGGAGTGCCTTGGCAAGGAGCCGTGGAACCAGCCAGTGATCACAGGAGCAGGCAGTGTAGTTGGTGCTTACTTACCTAGGTAAACTAGGCATGGAGCCTGAAGGACGTGGAGTGCCTTGGCAAGGAGCTTGAACCACCATCATAACTTCTTGCTGCCCACTCCCCACCCATATCGGGGGGGGGTGCCTTTTGATTTTCTGGGGGCTGTAGTAAGTGGTAGAATTGTCATCTTATATACAAGAGACCTGGGTTTGATTCCCAGCCAGTGTACCCCACAAACCATTCATTTGTCATTGGAGGCTTACTTGTTGTTGCTATGATGCTAAAGGGATTTTAGTGGAGCTAAAATAAGTCTTATTCTTCCTAGAATAAGACTAGGAAGAAAGTCCTGGCAATCTGATTCCCAGAATCAGCCAACAGCCCTAGAGATCACAGTGGTCCAAATCCCATTGTACATGGGCCACTACCTTTTGACTTCCTGTTTGCTAGCACCTGGCACAGGAACAACACAGGCAGGTTTTTGGTTCATTCTTTGGGCCAGCGTTGGTTAAGAAGTAAGAAGGTCCTAGGAAGTCATGCTGAGGGATGTGGGAGGAAACCCATGAGCCTGGAAAAGGGAGCAGTAACAGGAATCTGGGAACAACAGGGCCACATGACACTGATTCAAAGTCTCAGAGGAGCAAACCTTTCCAGACGGGTGGGATAGAGCTGAAGTAGAATCCTGGAATCACAGATAGTTAAAGGTACCTATCAGACACCACCAGTCTAACCTGCTGCTTTTGAGGGACACTGAGGCCAGCTGTGTGCCCAACACCACAAAAAGGAGCCAAAAAGAGCTTACGCTTCTTTCCTGGGTGCTTCACCCTCAATCCCTTTCACTCTTGCCAGGCTGTCCCCCGAGCCCAGGGATGAAGCTTAGGAAGAGTGGCTGAGAAGGTGAGGAAAGTAGGGCAGCTAGAAAGGCTGAAGAAATCCAGAGCAGAGTGAGGCCCAGGACATAGAGGGAGACTTAGAGGCTGAGGTTTAAAAATAAAAGGGATGTTTCTTTTGAGGAGCTCGTGTCACAAAGTGCCAGGCACACAGGTGGTGTCTAAATACCAGCTTTCTTGCCCCCAGGTCCTCACCCAGGAGCGTCCAACTCAAGCGTGTGGTTTCCTGTAAGGCACTGGAAATGATTGGTGGGAGAACCAGTAAGCCCATCCATGAACTCGCTTCTTTTTTCTCACAGGAATCTCCTACCAGAGGCTGGTGAGGGCTGAGCAGGGCCTGCCCACAAGGAGTCACCGCAGCTCCATTGTGTGAGTGATCTTGGGACGGAGGGACTGAGGGAGGAGGAGGGACATGGAAGGCCGGCCCCTGCACCTGGCTTTCCCTCCATTACCCCAGACACAGCTGCATAAATAATCACTATCATGGAAAGTAGTGTCATAGAATAATGTGCTGGACCGCAAGGTTGGTGGTTCAGATTCACCTCAGAAACCTTATACAGGGTTGCTAGGAGTCAGAACTGACTCGAAGGCACTTAATAACAACAACAACAATCATGGAAGGAGCTCTGACAGTGTAGTGGCGTATGAGTTAGTCTGTTATCAACAAGGTCAGCAGTTCAAATTCACCAGCCGCTCTGCAGGAGAAAGATGAGGTTTTCTGCTCCTGTAAAGATGTACAGCCTCAGAGTCACTATAAGTTGGAACCGACTCCGCGGCACAGAATCACCACCACCACCATCATTTACCTGGAGCACTGGTATGTGGCTGAAGGATAAACACTGGGCTGCTAACCAAAAGGTCAGCTGTTCAAAACCAAGAGCTGCTCCTCAGAAACCCTATACAGGGTCGCTATGAGTTGGAACCAACTCCACAGCACTTAACAGTAAATTCCAAAAAACAATAGATATACAATGAAGGGAAAAAGGTTATGATCCCAAAACACACCAACTAAGGGATCTTTTACTTTTCAAGGCAGTAGAAAGATTTTCTTAGATATGCAAATATTATGAAAATGTATCACACAGATTATTTTTCTTTAAAATAATTATGCTAATACGTATTACATGTATTACATGGCACTGGTAGTGAATGTGGAGACCACTTAAA